GGCCATAAAATCAAGATTAAATAAAATACACAATAAATAAACAAACCATTACCATACAAAATAAAGCAAATAAATAAACAATACACAAAATTAAAATTACAAGCAAATAAATGGAAATTTTTATGAAATTCATAACACTATCAATTGTTTAGTATATCCAGCTACACAAATTAGTAAGTGAAGAAATGCCAAGTCAGTCCACTTCCACAAGGGAAAAAAAAAGACCAGTTTTGTCCCAATTTATCCACATATATATAAAATAATAAAAATAAATAAATAAAAAATAAAAAAACCCACCCACATAATTTTCCAAATTCATAATATATAAAAATTTAGGGATATTATGATAAGAGTTACCCTTTCAGGGGTGGTGGTTTCGCCTGAAACGCATTTTCAACATTTTTTTTAACTTAGAAAATTGGTTTCATTTCTCAAAAACCGCTGCTAAAATTAAATTACTTTTAAAGCTGATAACAATGGCGCACTAACCTTTGCGCATCCATTAATTGATACGAATCGTTCAAAATAGCTTGTTTTTGTATTATATTTTGGGCTATTTTAGAACAAAAAACCAACATTTTTAATTTTCACAATTTTTATAAGAAGCATCAATTATGAAATGTCTTAGTTCACAAAAAAAGTAATGGAACCTTTAATTGAATTTTCAGCGCGGTTTCATGTGAACCACCGCCCCTCTGAGACATTGAAAAAGGATAGATGACGCAGTCGTAAGATTTTACGCTGTGTATGCTTCGGATCCGCTCTGTAAGCATTGCCTCATATCTCGTTTAGTGTTCAAAGATGAGGATTTAGGAGCTTTGAGAAGGAAAACATTTTATTTTTTACAGAGACACAGAGCACACTGAAGAACTCACAGTTGCTTTTTATTCTGCTTCTCTTAGCGTCGCTTTTCTCATTTTCCAGTTCATAGTAAAATATTGTATACATCTAAATTTATTTATCCAGTATATGTCTTAGTTTTTAACATAATTTTTAATATTTCAGTTTTGTAAGTAATTTAGTGCATTATTAGTTACTTTTGTCTTTCCTGTTTTAATTTTTATTTATAATTAAAAATGTGTGTTTATGCAAATATACTTACTTCATTAGTTCAGTATTACTGGTAATCTGCAATGAGTTATTTCAAATACTTTCAGTAGTAAAGATAAATAAGCAAATGCTTAGTCTTAAGCTCTAGACGGCCGCTGGTTCAAGGCAAACTGGTCCCCTCATAAAGGAGGATGAAAAAATTTTTTACACCATTTATTTGTCGATAGCAGGGTTCCCACCGCTGTTCGCGGCACACCTGTCCGTCTGAAGCACCGGGGTGCGGCGGTCCGTGCACAGTGCTTCGCCGCTATAATCCTCCTAGTGTCATAGGTGGTCACGGCGCTGTGCAGTGCTAAATCTCCCCGCCATCCTAAAGTGTCCGCCGTGTCCCGCCCCCTGAGAGCAGGCAACGCCTCCACAGTGCAGAGAGACAATGGCTGCTGTGAGGAGAGACATGATACTGCATGATGAAAGTTTTGAAAAGGAAAGACTGTACTGAACAAATCTGGACGATGAGAGCCCAAGTTGGTGGGGGTCAAAAGAAAGCAAGATGGTTAAATTCTCTGGCGAAGGCAATATAGCGAAAGCTATATCAGTTGGATACTTTCACTGGAGATGACACAACCAACTCCACTGTGCGTGTGTGTGGTGGTAGCTAACATTGCTATGGTCCCAAGCAAACTTAAGCCACTCAAACAAACACCCTTGCTTCAAAACAAGAATGTGGACTATTTTGTTAGCCTGCGTGACAACATGGAGAAACAGGCAACTTAGAGAAAACACAAACGTAAATGAAGAACTCTTAAAGCAGCTATCAAGTGCTGAACTTATAGCCAAGACAAAAAGTCGCACCTGTGGCAGAGACATTAATACTTCCTGCGCAAAGCTATTGTAGAGGAGATGCTCGGCCTGAAGCAGCAAAGGAAATAGCCAAAGTCCCTCTCTCAAACACACAATTTCCAGACGTTTAATGACATGTCTGCAGACATCAAAGTTGGTTTTGGAAAAGATCCGTATCAGGAGATTTGCATTGCAACTTGACGAGTTACTGATATCAGTGGACATGCTCAACTCTTAGCTATGGTGTTCTGTTGGTGGTGATGCAATTAGAGGAAACTTCTTTTTTTGAAGGTATTGCCAGAAAAAACAACAGGAGAAAATTTTTCGGGTCACATCGAATCCTTGAACAAGGAGGAGTTAAGTGGGAAAACCGCACAGTGTCTGCACCGATGGAGCTGCAGCATGGTCGGGCGCACCAAAGGCTTTGTAGCAAGGAAGGAAAGAAATCCAGATGTGATTATTACGCATTGTTTTTCACCGCGAGGCCCTCGTACCAATACTTTACCATCAGCCTTAGTTCACGTGTTGGATTGTTGTGCGCATGGTAAACATTGTAAGTCACGACCCATGAAAAGTCCATATTTGCAGCTTGGCGAGGAGTGGGAGCAAAGCATAAAACCTTGCTGTTTCATACGGAGGTCCGGTGGTTGTCGCGTGCCAGGTCTTGGTTCGTGTGGATGAGCTGCGGGAGGAACTTAAAGTGTTCTGACAAATGAGGGTCAGATTACGCAAAGCACTTGCAGTGATGAGTGGTGTCAAAGGCTGGCTACCTGGCAGATATATTTCATCATCTGAATGAATTGAACACCCGAATGCAAGGCCGAAATGAAAACCTGCTTACAAGTACATAAAAAAATGGACTCCGTTCAAAGGTGCAACTCTGGCATCAACACGTGGAAAGTGGCAATCTTGAAATGTTCACACTCACCATGCAATGGCAAGGGTTCACACTGCCGCACTGTGTGAGATAATAGTTAAGCATTTAAAAACTCTTGAGGAGAAGTTGGTCATTTTATTTCTCTTCAGTCTCCACTGAATGCCTTGACTGGGTTAGGGACCTTATAAGCTCAGCATCAGTTGTTGGAAAGGAAATGACTTTACAGGAGCAGGAGGACGAATTGAACTGAGACAATCGTGGTTGCAAGCTAAGATTTGCTGATCTACCTTTGGACAGTTTTTGGTTGATACTGCCCGGAGTTCCCCCTTCTGGCAAACAAGCCTATTTTTGACATTCTCCCTTTTTCCCACTACATATTGTGCGGATTAGCTTTTCAGCACGATGCTATGAACCCAAATACACAGAGAGACTGAGAACTGTTGACGAAGAGCTACGTGTGTCTTTCTTTCTTCGATTCCAGCCAGAATCAGCTTTTGTTCAGCCAAACAGGCCCAGTTCGCACTGAAAGTATTTTATAATTTTTCACTATTCTGTTTACTTATATTTCATAATAAAGTAATTATAAAATACTTTCTTTGTGCTTATTTTGATTCCTATTCACAGAATTACTTTATTATAGTCAATATAGGCAGAGAGTTAATTTTTTAACATTTTCTAATGGTGGTGTGCCTCGTGATTTTTTTCCCCGCGACAAGTGTGCCTTGGCCAAAAAAGGTTGGGAAACGCTGGTCTATAGGACCATTGCATGTCATTATGATTACTTTTTCAGAACTTTTAAAAAAATCATAACATTGCACCTCTGAAAGGGTTAATTCATTTGGACCTTATTTATCTGTTTAATTTAAATGAGCAGGTATCCAACACATTAGCTAAAAGCATCTTTATTAGATGCTCTGAATGCTCTTTTGGAAACTGACTTACCAACCACTCATGTGGCAGGCCAAAAAAGTAAAAAAATATACTCTGAGATTGATGATTTTCAATTTTACAACTGGCATAAAACATTTTAAAACTTAATTCTGAACCAATTCCTAAGAAACTGAAACTTTCCCAAACCAATTGAGAAAAACTGCCCATAAATTAAAATACTTATTCTGGAATTTTTAGATATAAAATGTAAGACTTTTCACGAAGCATTGTGTCAAGATGGCAAACGACAAATATCACTAAGAAGAACAGAATTATGGCTAGAGAAAGACGAAAATGACTATCCAATGTTTTAATGAAGCAGAAATGAAGACAATATGATAGCAGTCATGAGATTCTTTGAAAAGGATGGAGACAACAAGAACAATGATGAAGAAACAAAACTGAATGAACTAAATAAGCAGTAAAGTTATGTCTTTCAGTAAATGGAGAATATGTATATAATCGGCATATTACAGATATTTAAGATAAGAAAGTAACTTGAATGCAGCCTAAAAAGAACATCAGTGTCATCAGTGTCTAATTAGTTGTATACATGACGATTTGGAAAAATCACTACAAGTTTTAAATAACTGCGATTTTCAGAAAATAACATATTTTGTAATAAATGACTTAACATAAAGTTTATGTAAATATAAAATAAAAATAATAGTGTTTCGATAAATACTGTGCATAGAGTCAAACCCATTTTAAATATTTATTCCTGTATTTATATTTTATATACAAGATGTCATACATAACTCTTAATCTAGCACAATTTAAAAAAGCAATAAGTTCTTTTAAGCTATTTCACTTGAGCATTCTATCAACACCTTACAGAGGTAAATTCTGTAAACTTAATTCACATGTTGGCTTTTCTTCATGTTTCCCTCCTTCCTCCTTTTTTAAAAGCATCTTGATATGCAGAATTATTTGTTTTAGACTAAATCTAAATTATGCAAAATTATCTTCTCCTCGATACAAATATGAAAACAACATTAGCAAAAAATGTCATTTATCATTAAACTGTATGCTGTTCACATTTTAATGAACTAAGCGCTTTGTTTATGTGTGAAAATTCATTAGATATGACAAGATATTTACTTTTTGGATAAAACATACGAGCAAAAATTTTGAAATAACATATTACGCTTTAAAACAACACTTTAAAATCATGATGAAAATAATTATGGAAATCTAATATTTAGAGAAACATATTAAGAAGTTTAAAATAATATGCATGAAAAATCTGAAATGCCTAACAATAAAGTGCAATATAATTACTGGCTTCTTTTCTCATACATACTTGTTTAGGTTTATCTTGAGGACCATGTTTGAAATCTGTCCTAACTTTGCCATCAGTAGATCTAATAACTGTCACAGGCTGCTTGAAAATAGAGGCAGTCTGGCGTATAGGTGGAACTAATGATGCATCATTTCGAATTCCACGGTTATAATCAAACTGAGTTCCTCTCTGACGTTTACTTTTCCTGAGTAACAAGGAATTAATTTTTCCTGTTCGGTAATCAAACGTACTAAGATCAACAGCATCTCCCAAAAACCGAGCCAACTGTGGTTTACTACGAAATCTCTTGCCTGATGGACTGAAATATAAAATAAGTGTATTAAACCAAAATACTACGTAAACAGCATAAAAACATTTAAATATTTTTAAAAAAGCACAAGTATGGATTCTACTTAAAAAAAAAACCTATAAGCACAAGTATGGATTATATTTAAAGTATCCTTTTATTGAATCTAGGTAAAAGTATATTTTAGAGCACCCCATTGCGATATTTGGCGGTACATGGATACCGAATTTATGCAAGTCTTTGACTTATTTTGGCTTGTGTAGTGGTGATTTTTGCGCCAAAAATTGCCGCTACACAAAGCCAAAATGAAAAGACAATGAATTGCACAAACTCAGTACCCATGTACACATCGACATATTTTCACTTTAAAAAAAAAAAAAGAGAATTGCACAAACTAGGCTTTGCGCACTCCCTTGAGTTTGTCCATGTACACATCGATATATTTTCCCTTAAAAAGGCAAAGAAACCCCCAATTCTACAGTACAGACACACAAAAAGTACATAATAAACTACATTTTACACCAAACAATAAAATAACATAAAAAAGGATTATGCATAAACTCATTAGCCGGTGGTGTTGTGTTGACGCAACGGTCAAAATAAATGCGTATATAAATATAACTACCTAAGATTTTATACCAGCAGATGATTTTGTGTAAGGATATTATGAAATTATTTCTTCAAAAAATATTTGTTTCAACAATCATTTTGTTTAATAATAATTAATCTCATACTTTAAGCAAAATTTTCGACCGGTATTTTTGCTGAAAATATTTAACGAAAGAATCGCCGTCTTTATGAGTGATCTATTTTTAGTCAAGGTCACCATTTATCAGAACATTACATCAATCAGATGTTTATATTTGTGTTGGGAAGGAAGAGAAAACAAGTGTTGCGTTGACGCAACATCAGCAGGAAACGGGTAGTCAATCTCTTTTTTCACTCATTCTTTTCGATGTTCTGGTTGTTTAAAAATGCCTAGAACGAGGTATCTTACATAAGAAGAAGCCCTTCAAAGATATTTTGATGAAGAAACAGATGATGATAATGTTAATAATGACCAAAATGAAACTGATATTGTTGTTGTTCCTCCAGAAATTGCAGAGGCTAGTGACGAAGAAGAAAGGAATGGCAATGTTTTAAATAATGATAATGATATTTTACCAAATGATAATGTTGGGGAAGTTGAAATTCACGTAAGAATTAAGTTTCAGCCTTCTAAAAGCAGTTATAGTCATACTATCAAAATTTTAAAAAGCTGAAGACTGGAATCTTGAAATGGATAAAAAAGGAACTGTTAGTTGTGTCTCAGGAAGAACATGAAGAAAGAGATAGAAGATAAATTCTAAAAGACAAAACACAAGGTAAAACTAGTGCACATATTTTCGATTTTCTTTTTGGTTTAGACATTTACTCTCTTCTCGTTGAACAGACAAATATATACATTCAGAAAAAAAAAAAAAAAAAAAAATGCCCAGAATTTATTGCATCTGAAGCCTATATGAAACGATTTATTGGAATATTATTGCTTACAGGATATCATTCTTTACCTCAAGAAAAATGTATTGGTCTTTTGATAAGTACATTTCTGTTCCTGTTGTACGAGAATTGATATCACATTTGCAGTACAGGACTATGAAGCAGAATTTGCATTTGACAATAGTCAAATTGACAATACTGATAAATTATATGAGGTGAGACCGTATCTAAACTTACTAAATATCACCACTTTTTACTACTGGAAATATAGTCTTTAGATTTCAGACGAGAATGCATTATCCTTTTGCAAACTCCTATTGAGAGTGTAGAATTAGCCAGAAATAGATCAGCAACAGGAAACCTATAAATTCAGCATTCAAAACCATTGCATGGAGATGGTAGACATTTTATCGTAAAGTCCGTTGATAACAAAAGACTTTGTTGTAAAGAGTACCATAGCCAGACTGTTTATAGATGCAAAGTATGTAATGTAGCTTTACATCATGATTGTAATCAAGCTTTTCATGCTTGAATCTTTCAAATGAAATAATCTGTATTTGTAAAAGAAATACAATGTATATTTTAATATTAAATTAATTACAAGTAAAGTGATTTGAAGATTTATAAAACGTTATACAGCTAAAGAGTAATCCTGCGCTTCACTCAAAAGAAACATTACACGAGTACAATCCTACTCACTAAACATCCGTAGTCTTATTGCGCTGACGTTGCTCGAACGCAACACTCGCTTTTTCCATAGGTAAGAGCATTTTTTTAAATTTTCAATGTAAATTTATGTTATAAATAATTTATGTTATAAGCGCAGGATTTATAAATGCTTAATTTAATATTTGTTCTTATTTTCATGAGGAAAGAAACATTCCTTGTAGTTTTGGCGG